GGGTTGGAAAGGGGGAACCGATTACAAGGATCCACATGTGACCTCCTCCCTGGGGGACGGACAACAGAAAAGTGGGTGAAGGGAGATGTCGGACAGGACAAGATATGACAAAATAATAATTTATAAATTATTGAGGGTTCATGAGGGAGTGGGGAGCGAGGAGGGAGGGGGGGAAATAAAGAGCTGACACCAGGGGCTTAAGTGGAGAGCAAATATTTTGAGAATGATGAGGGCAATGAATGTACAAATGCACTTTACACAATTGATGTATGTATGGGTTGTGATAAGAGTTGTATGAGCCCCTAATAACATGGTGAGAAAAAAAAGAATCACTGCTTTCATCTCTCCATTTGGAGGTTTTTCTAAGAAACACACACCTTGCTTAGTCCAAGCTAAGACTGCACTGCTGTTGTTGTTAGATGCCATTGGCGGATTCTCACTTATGGTCGCCCGTGTACCAGAGAATGAAGCACTGGCCAGTCCTGGACCACCCTCCCATCCGTGACTGTGTGGGCCCATTGCGGTAGCCACTGTCTGAGACCATTCGGTTGAGGGTCTTCTTTTTTGCTGACCCTCTACTGGTCCCTCCTGATGACATGCTCAAAATTAGTGAGACAAATTCAACATCCTCACTTCCTTTTTGTCCCCCAACAGATTTATTGGCATATAATTCACATATCATACAATTCAGTCCTTCAATCTCATCAAGAAGAGTTGTGAAATCAGTTTTAGGACATTTTCTTCATTCGTGTACTCATCGTAATTAGCTTCCCATTTCCCCCTACTCTCCCCTGCCATATCCCCAAGGAACCATTAATCCAGTTAATGTCTCTATAGCTGTACCTATCCTGGATTTCATAATACAAAACTTAAAAATGTTAACTAACAAAGTAAAACAGATAAAAGCCTCAATCAAAAAGAAAGCAAAAAAATATTAAGAATTAGAGCCAATTTAAATGAACCCTCAGGAAGATCAAATGATAGGGTGCTAAAATGTCACCTAGCTCGTTCTGCAACAGTACATTCTCCAGTGCATTGTGCATGACAGCGAGAGTAGTCACACCTGGTCCATGGTCAGAGGAGATTTCCAGGGGCTCCATCCACATGCAGTTCCCCTTCATCTGAAGAACATTCCGGCCGTACTTCTGAGGCAGACCCGTTCATTCACCAGGCAGTGCACGGTATATTCGGTTTTCTTTGACAACACCGTACTCCAAAAGCATACGTTCTTTGGCCTTCCCTGGTCACTTTACGGCTTTCACGGGCTTTGTAAAGGCCTTTTGCAACACATTTGTCAAAATGTAATATGCCGTTTTATTTTCTAACTGCTGCTTCCATGGGCATGAACCGAGGATTCAAGTAAAATGAAATCCTTGACCATTTTTTCTCATTTAGCATGATGGCTTTTTTTTCTATTGGTCCAGTAGTTAGGATTTGTTGTTGTTGTTGACCATTGGGTTTCAATTCATCCTGACGACACCGGTGTTTGACACGCATCGGCACGTCCGTCTCGTGCCCTCTTCACGTTCAGCAGGGAAGGTGGTGTCTTTGTAGCTCACGAGTTGTTCGAGACCTCCTCCACTCCCGTCGGCACATTCTTTTCCATACGCTCCACCTTCTGGGACGATGTGTCAAGGATGCAGATGGAATAAGTGTGGCGAAAGGATACAACCCTGATGCACACCTTTTAATTAAAGGTGTTTTTAAACCATGCAGTTTCTTTTTCCCCCCTCTGAAGAATTCTGTGCACACTGGTTACCTGCAGACATTCAATTGTTAATAGAAATGTGCTTTTGTTTTAAACGTAATGGGGGAAATCCTGAAACTCATGAGTGACAAGAATTGTATGAACTGTTGACTCACTGCTTGCATGAATATGTGACTCACTTGAAAAAAGTGAGTCGCGGTGTCATTCACGTTATATGCTTGGTACTTCTCCTGTGGTCTCCAATGTGCTCCTGGTCCCAAGGGAAATGTAAATTTCCTCTGACTCAGCTGAATAGGATTTGGGAGGATGGGACTGTTGGAGAGGAGGAAGTGGTGGGACTCTGCTTATGTCTTTCTCTGTCCATTAAGGACCCCATTATCGCATGTTGACGTTCTCTGGGCCCTGGGGGGTGTGGGGGAGATTGCATGCAGGCAAGGCTGACCGCAGCCCCCGTCCTTCCTGCCTCCCCTCCTAACAAGGCCATCCTGTTTGTTTTGCTTTTCTGTCTGTACTTTCAGTCCCTCCACCCTTCTGTGACTTGCCATGAGAAGGTGGTAAGTGTCCGAAAAGAACCCAGCGAGTCCCTTGGCATGACTGTGGCTGGGGGAGCATCGCACAGGGAATGGGATTTGCCCATCTACGTCATCAGTGTGGAGCCCGGAGGAGTCATAAGCAGAGACGGGAGAATAAGAACAGGTAGGATGTTTAAAGGACATAGGGATTCCAGGAACTTGGGTGGCAGAGGAACTGGCAGCTTGCTAAGGGCCACTGTTGCCCAAATTCTCGAGAGAATGTAAGGGTGACGTGGCCAGGCTGTGCTGGTGAACGTCATGTATGCCGTTGTTAGATGGGGGTTCCCTCCTCCTAGTAAATGGAGCTCAGTGTGGACCCGGGAATACAGCCAGAGCCTTCCAACTGCCCAAGAATGAACAGGGAGTGGGTCAAGCTATGCGGTCCCTGGATGATGCAGTTTACTTGCGCAACTACTGACCAAGAGGTGGATGGTTCAAGTCCACTCAGAGGCCCCTTGGAAGAATGGCTGGGTGACCTGCTCTGTAAGAACAAGCAAGTAAAAATCTGTGAGGAGCACAGTTCTACTCTGACACTCCTGGAGTCACCAAGAGAACAGGCTGACTCAGATGCCACTAGTGTTACCGGGGACGCAGTGACAAGCAGTTTGTCTTAATTATATAGCAGCATTTGAATTCCACTAATTCTAAGGGATTCTACACTGAATTGACCCAGTACAACTAATTCACAAGTCGCTCCATTGTATGATATGCATTAGAAATTATTTCACAGGCTTGGATTGGATGAATATTCATAAGGAAACATGCCAGGTACTTAACCAATAGATGGGAGCCCTGGTGGTATCGTGGTTACCAGTTTGGCTGCCATCCATACAGTTGGAAGTTGGAAACCACTGCAGCTCCTCAGGAGAGAGACTTGGCTTTCTACTCCTGTGAACAGTTACTGTCTCGGAAACCCACAGGAGGTCGCTATGAGTCAGCCCTGGCTCGATAGCAGTAGTGAGTGCAGTGCGCAAGTGCCAGCACTTAACCCAGCGGTGAAAAGTGCTTCACGACTTGCATCTCATGCGCTCTGTGGGCGAATCCATGTCAGGTCATGGGAGGATCTGCCTCAGGTCACCACAGAACAGGCCGCTGGCCCTCACCGCTGTCCTTGTCCCTCCGCACTGTCACTGGTGGCTGCTCGCACTCTCTGAGGACGACTTGCTTCTGTGTCTCTGGCCACCAGGTGACATTTTGTTGAACGTGAACGGGGTTGAGCTCACGGAGGTCAGCCGGAGTGAGGCCGTCGCTTTATTGAAAAGCACGTCGACCACCCTGGTACTCAGGGTGCTGGAAGTCAAAGAGCAGGGGACCCAGGAAGACTGCGGCAGCCAGGTCGCCGAGGACTCCAACCACAACACCCCCCCACCGGGCGACTGGGTCCCCTCCTGGGTCATGTGGCTGGAGTTACCGCGGTGAGTCCTTGCGTGGCACCCCTGTGGATGGAGGGAGGGATGGGTGTGAGAGGAAACCGTTGCCTGTCTTGGACCAGCCTTGTTCTGATTCAGGGCACCTGCATCTTAATGAGTGCCAGGCTCGGTTTACAGACTGTCTGGAAGCATTCTGGCTTCCCTTTTTCTAAAGGCACGGGCAGTCAGAAATCCTAGGTCAGGGACAAAAGCCTGCATATAGAGACACTGAAATAGTCCTGCTGAAGAGCGTGCACATCTGCCTTGAACCGCTGAGGGGGGCTTTCATGCACCCAGAAAGTGCGCGGCCTGGGAGAGAGGGCAGAAATCCAGCGGAGTCCTGCCCCTGCCCGAGGAAGGTCCACTTCTCCCTGATGTGCTAGGGCAACTCTGGGGCCACGCGTGGAGGATGAGTCCCTCCCATGGCTTGGTTGCTGATCCGTCAGGTAGCCAGGAGCCCCTCACAGCCCAGCAATTTGACTTTGCCCAGAGGGTTAAGGACCTGCTGGCTGGACCCTCTCAGCTAGTCCCTGTGAGTCAGCGTTGACTCGAGAGCAGGGAGTTTGGTTTTTCGGTTTGGCTGGAAGCGTTTCTTAGACTCTGCCTCTCCCATGTTCCTGCTCCTGAAAATGCCTTTGTATCTCTCCAACAGCTGTAATTTTAGTGATGTGTCACTAGAGCCTGCCAGAGAACCATTTCCTCATCTCACAACAACACACGGGAGGGGGGAGGGAAGGGGGAGGATTTGGGGTGGGGCTGCCCCATTAAATGGCTATCTGAGGACATTAAATATTCGGAGGACAGATTCTTTGGGACTTTCATCAGAGAATGATGAGGAAGCCCTCCAAGTCCAAGTGTGTGGTTTCAGTGTTAACCAAATGAAGTTCATCACCTGAGGAATTATGGTGAGAAGGGTCTTATTCATTGGTGATCTAGTGCCGTATGCCATTGTGTCGTTGTTGTGAGAGGCCATCAAGTCCGCTCCAACTCACAGCGTCCCAAATGTACAACAGCATGAGACACTGCAGGTCCGGCGCCAGCCACCCAGCCTTTGCTGCGTGTGAGCCCAGTGTGGCAGCCCCCGTGTCCACCCGTCTTACTGATGCTCTCCCTCCCTCTCTGTTACCAAGTGTGATGCACTTCTCATTAGGCGTGGTCCCTCCTGCTAACATGCCCAAAGTATGTGAGGCCCAAACCTCACCCTCCATCTGTGCTCCTAAGGAGCATTGACCGCACCTCTTCCCAGGCAGATTTGTTCATGTTTCTGACAATTCACTCTATATCCAGTGCTACTGGGTGGATGCACCGTATTTATTTAACCTGTTGCTATTGGTAGTGGACAAATTGATTCTCATTTCTCATTTGACAAGCACTGTGGTCATGTGCATTCCTCCCAGACAGGTGTGTCTGAGGACCAATTTTTAAGCATCAGAACCACTGGGTTTAATGGGTTGATAGTTCATTGCACCATTATGTGGGGATGGGGTGGGGGCAGAGATAGATCTAATACTGTCATAAGGTCTGCTTACGCTTGCTCTACAGTATTTACTTAATGGTTTTGGATGTTGTGTCGCTGTTCAGCAGAGATCCATCTGAGGTATAGGGTCCCTACCACCCCTGCTTCAGAACAACATGAGTTCAGTGTCCCCTTGGCAATTCCAGACTGTAGTACTATAGCCCATAATGGAGAATAAAGTCTAGGGATCTGCTTAGGCTGCTTTTCGTTCCTGGAGCCTTAGTGGCACATTGGTTACTCATTGGGCTGCTAATCACAAGGTCAGCTGTTTGAAATCACCAGTCATGCCTCGGGAAAAATACAAGGCTGAGGCTTGACTCAAGAAAAAAAAAGTATAGTCTCAGAAACAGTGAGTTCTGCCCTCTCCTACAAGGTTGTGATGAGTCAGCATCGACTTGATGGCAATGAGTCTGTTTGCTTTGGTGCGGGCATGGGGGGTTGGACTGTTCCAGTGCCCACCCCCAGGGTAACACTGATCTGTGGGAATCTAAGCTGACAATCTGTTACCCGGATCAGTTTGGCATTTACCTCAACTAGATAGCCCATGGTTCCACCAGTGCGGGGCCGCTCGTTACGTTAATTGCCTGGCTTAGAGTTTCTTGGGTCACACAAACATATTGAACTCCAACTCGAAACCTTCGTATCTTCACAAGGGGCAGGTTCATGGTAATAAATCTTTCTCATGCCATCACGTCAATGCCAGTGCTACAGGACAGGGTAGAACTGGCCGATTGGGTTTCTGAGACCGTAACTCTGTACAGGAGGAGAAGACCTCCTGATCGGACGGGGAGACTCTTCCACAGAACCATCATGGCTCTCATGATGAGTTACTAGGGAATGTGATTCCAGAATGCATCCCGGTTCCCTCACCGTTCAACACTCATGCCTTTCTTCCCTGCCAAACTGGCCCATGGAGAAGCCCTGCTAACAGCCAGCTTGCCCGTATCAGGTGTGCCCTGAAGAGTGGGCCACTTCCTGGGGAACCACAGGGCTCCCTGGGCTGGGGCCGCGCTCTTTAGCTGTGAGTGTTCTGTCGTCTCTCTTGGGTTTCCCTGCCTTTGGCAGCTCTCTACGTGGGGTTGGCTCTTAATTTTATTTCAGATAAAATTTGTATTTCTATTTTCAAGTCTCCAATTTGTTTTTAGAGGCAACTAAATTTTAAAAGCAGAAGGGAAAACACAGTCTTTACTCTGTGGTTCTGAAATTAGAAGTATGCTCCCCCCCCTCCTCCCCCCAGCCTCCCGCCAAAAACAGTCCTTGATATTCAGCTCTGCACTTACATTACGGCCTCAGGTAGGCTCGGGATCCAAACCCACTGCCCTGACCCCAGCTCATAGCAGCCTGGGTACGTCAGAGTAGGCTGCGCTTTTGGGTTTCTAAGACTGTACACCCCCCCCCAGTTTTATTGGCATATAATTCAATAGTTCAATCACATCAAGAGGAGTTGTACAGTTATCACCACGATCAGTTTCAGAACATTTTCTTCATTCTTATACTCAGAGGTATTAGCTCCCTGTTTGCCTCCCCACCTGCTCTGCCATCCCCCCAAGGATTAATTACTGCCTCTATAGTTTACCTATCCTGGATTTCATGTAAAGAAGAACCATTTAAAAACACAAACAAGCAAAAAACTAAGAATAATAACAAAGTAAAACAGATAAACACCTCAATTGCAAAAAGAGCCAAATATTCAAAACTAGAGAAAATGTAAATGAGATACATTTTTAAGGGAGAGCTAAGTCCGAAAATCTTCATAGGAGCTTATCTGAAAGAAACTCATCCTTCTCCCGAGTAACAGCTTGTGGTTTGAACCACCAACCTTTATGACCGGCAGCCCAATGCTCAATCCATTATGGCACCAGGGCACTAAAAAAGCAAAACCAAAAGCCACACTCACTGCCATTGAGATGATTCTGAATCAGCAACCCTATGGAACCGGGCAGAGCTGCCCCTCTGCCGTCCCAAGGCTGTCTCGGAGCAGAAAGCCTCATCTTGCTCTTGTGGAGCAGCTGACGGGTTCAAACTGCTGACCTTGCAGCTGGAAGCACAACTTGTGACCCACTGCCCTCAGGGCTGCTTCCACCAGGGCTCAACCCCAGCTCACTGCTCTCAAGTCGGTGGTTATTCGGAGCAGCACTCGATGAGGTTCCTGAGACGGAAACTTTATGTGAACAGAAAGCCCAGTCTTTCCCCGAGGAGCTGTTGGTGGTTTCGAACTGCCAGCTATGCAGATTGCAGCCCAATATGTAACTACCCTCCCAGGGCTAGAACTGTCCAGTTACAGTACAATTTCTGTTTCCATGGGAAGGGGTCTACTCTGAGGCTATAAATTATCTTGACTGAACCAAGACCTAGAGATTCCACTTCTTGCCAATTGATCAACCACCATTGCCGTAAATGCCTTTCGTCATTCTTTGTGTCCTTTGCCTAATTTGTTCATGATTGGAGGAGGCTGCAAACAGATGAATAATAATAATTTTCCCAGGAAGAAGTTCTCTCCAAGTTAACAAATCTACCTGGTCAAATACCTTGCCCCTCTGTATTAACAGAGAGCGAGCAAATCTATTTCCCCTAGAGTGCTCCCAGCCAATGACATTTTAACTTCATCAGTGAAGAAAAAGGATACAGAGCTTGAGCCCATCTAGAGGAAATGCATTGTGATCATGCTGCAGTCCAGCATACAGAAAAGAGCATACAGGAAACTGGCAGCATTTGGGCAAGGGGCCACTGGGTCCTGTGCTGGACCAGGGGCTGTGAGATCCACGCAGCGCCAAGGCAGTGAACGTGGCTTCTATGAGAAAATACAAATGTGCAGATGAGCTCCCCCCTGATCAGCAGGGTGCTGTTCGCCACCTGGGCAGCAGCTCCAGGCTGCGTGTCTTTCATACCAGTTACCAGAGGCCATTCGGCTGGAGGTGATGCCGAGCACACTGAAGACCTCTGCTCCATTGGTTGTTGACTTTGGGGCCCCCCACTCCAGTCCACATCTGGAAGTCTTTCACAACATACTCTCATCTAGACCCAAACCATCATTATGTTCATTAATTTCTTGCTCCTCTTGTCTAAGAATTTAACCTTTTTCTCTCCGGAAACTCTGTAACGTTCTGAGGGAAGCAGATAGCATAGATTTTGTTTTTCTCTGTAGTCAAACAATTTTCCGCCTGTAACTGAAAGGTAGAATCCGCACGAGGAGTGATAGCAATAACGGCAGTAGCAGGTGATTCTCTAGTCAGCCCTTGGTTCCCAACTGCCTTCTTTTCAGAGAAACAAAACCGTACTCAGCGCCACACACACACTCACTCCCTGGCAATTAAACACTTTGGTGCTATAGCCATAATCCAAAATAAAGTGTAGGCATCTGCTTTTGCAATCCTCACGGATCATGTTAGCACCCTCCAGAAAGTGGTGTTGACTACTTTGGGAAACATGGAGCTAACCTTTTCAATATGCCGGCACACTTAAAAAAAATCATTTTATTGGGGGCTCTTCT